AAAAAACGTTATAAACTTAATTTGCAGTATTTGCGCCTCGCCCAGTGCGACATCAATATGCATGGCGAATATATTCCAAATTTGGAAATAATGGAAAGCATAATAAATATAAAGTGCCCTCGGCGTTGTTAACATGACTTGGTAGAGGAAGTACTTAAATTAATCAAATTATTATTACTGTGCCATTGTTTATAAAATTAAAATATACTGGTCAGATTTTTTTAAATTAGAAAATTTGATAGTTCGGTATATGCCAGATCAAATCTTTCTTTACAAAATACCGGAGAGACCTACAAAATTCAATATAATAGGTATACATTATTCCTATCAGTTTAAATAATAAATGACATGCTAATATACAGTCACGTTCCTTTATAACTTTCAAATATGAGACATTAACATATGTTACAAATTTTTCAAAAATAATGTAGGAAAGAGTATTTTTTTACATGTCATATCCGATTTTTAATTAATATACTTCTAAATTGCTATTATTTTGCACTTCTGTATGCAATGTTTTTATGCAGAATTTATTCTGTTTCTGTTATTTATTGATCGAATTACTGTCGATATGAATTGGCTTATACAAAGCTTATTAAAAGCTATATGTCTCTCGCAGTCTGACAGAAGATCTGAATCTCGAAAAGGCTTTATTAACTCGTCATTTTAATTTCCTGGGACATGTGTCCAATAGAAAGCAATTAGTCTGTCGATCGATCGTCGTTTTATTATCTCGCTGAGGAAAGTATATTCATCGCACTCCGCCTATATGGGAACAAACTTTCAAACCGTAAACTAAGCACGAAACAAATTTATCATTTTTTCAGCAGCTGTATAATAATAATTATTAATTTGTAATTAGCTATCGGCAAGTAGTAAAAAGATTTTTTTTGATAATACCTGAGGCGCAAACATTTTAAAGTTTAAAATTATAAATTTTTGATTAAATGACTATTTAGAACAAAATGGAATGTGACAATTTGCCTCATATGTTTTTGTTACTAAAAAAAATAATTGTTCAATAATCTAATTATACTGTCTACTAGAAACTACAATTTGACCTTGACGTAAGGGTTATTTACGATTTATTTGCTTTGGCAGAAAAAACTTATTTAAAATGCATCAACCAAACTATAGCACGCCGCTGCAAAGGCTAATAGGTCTAAATTTAATACCCTGCGGCAATGATGTCAGATTTTATAATTACGTTGTCACGGCTGCAGCTGCACAACTCCAAAGTTCTCTTTTGATCTATTCAATTCTCTCTTGCTTAAAACTTTTTTTTTTCTTAAAATAATAAGCGATGCGGGAAAGATTTGAACTTTGCCGGAACTTGCGATCGATAGCATAAAAGCAGTGTACTCGGCGTATTAATAAATTATCGCCAATCGAAGAAAAATTGATCTACAATGCGTCATCGAAATTTTGGACGGTGAAGCGGTAAAATTCGCACCACCTACCGTCAAGATTTTAACAAACACGAACCATCAACTTTCGCAAACAATCACAACACGCTAGCAAAATCCTTTTAGCCAGAGACCTTTCGTGTCGCGAACGTTATCGTCGGAAGAAGAAGGATAAGTGATTACGTAAGGCTCGTTTAATCTGCAAACGATTTTCAACGTCAAGGTCGAAATTCGCGATGCCTGGCTGATGAAGCACTTTTTTGCGATATTTTTTAAGTCACGGGTTGAATTGTTTTTTATAAATTATCGTTAAGCAATAATTTTGATATTCCTTGGCGTTGTTATTTAGATTCTTTAACCAAATACTCATCTTAGTATTAGGCACCAAGCGCCGAAGGCGCCTAACATTAACGATCACAAAACCAATGGGACCGAATGGCAACTCCCCACGAATCACGTTCAAATGAAATTATCTAAATGTCATGTGTTAGTTAATGGCAGGCCCTAATATCTGGAGCGCACTTCTAAACCAAATTCTTCGACATATAAAATGTGCCCTAAAAAGTCCGTTTTATTTTGTTGAAATTTGTTATTTACTGTCAAAAACTCCAACAGCGACCCTGAAATTTCTAACAAAAAAAAACGTACGTATGCCACTGTGGCCAAGAGACAAATCGCACTCCCTTGTGTAAAATACCCAACTACACACCGATCTAGCGTGCGGAAAGCGTCACTTTATGAGTTTCTTGTCCCACAGATCCACTTCTGACATTTCCGGGATATTACCGCGCGGGTTTGGGAACAATCACATGTTTCCGGAGATTTTACCGCACGGCTTGAATTTTGACGTTTGTCACTTCAAACGGTCTTCTCAATGAATGTACTCGTGTCGTCTTGCAAAAATGTACCCAAAAACTAACAGTCGCAGAAAAAGTATAAGATGCAAAACTCGCATTATTCTCGTACTATTATGATTATAATTCCTCAGCCACTAACTTTTTTTAAAAATATGTATTTTTATTTCACAATAAAAGAAGCTTAGTAAAGCTTTCTGTGTTTCTTGGCATTTTTTAGTATCTTACTTTATGTACGTTTGCAAGAATAGTTTTTATATCGCGATATATCACTTTAAAAATTTTTAGTTTTGCTCAATTTCTATGTCGCTTACACCAGAGAAATAGTGGAAGGAATATTATTATTTTTTATAATTTAATTTCTGTATAAATGTTTAATACAAAATAAGGTACTACGTTAAAATATCATCGCCAAAAGAATCGTCTAGATATTAATAAAAAAGTATTTTTTCTTTGATACCAAATAGTTATAAATCATAGAAACTTTTATGGTTGCATTTTGTTCAGAAATGTGTCTCTGGAATTACGGTATATCATTAAGTAATACTGAAATCTAATTTGTAGATCAAGTACCAAAACTGGTCTTTTCAGGAAAACCTACCACTCGAGTGCATATTATGTGCAATATTAAGGCAAATTCGAAATTATTCGTTTTTTCTTTTTTAGTTTGGTACGCCCATGGTTACAACGATTGTTATCTTACACACGTAACTCCAAAAGCACATGTCATAGTGCATCCGCCGCATTGCGCTCGTTTTAGGTCTCGACCTGATTTTTTCTTCCTCAGACTTTTGTCACATAACGCAGCTGGTTAAAACTAAATGGAATCGATTACTGGCGCTCAGATAAAAATTTCATCTTAAAAATCGTTTTTGACTTAATTTATTATTAATAATGTTATTAATAAAAACTAAATCCGATGAGCTATACTATACATCATTTGAAAAATGTTTTTGAAATTAAATCTCATTTTTTATTGGGTTATGTTTTTTTTAAATCAATTAATTTAATTAATTAAGAATGGTTTTTAGTCGTGGGTTTAATTGAGAATCAAAATCTGCAGAAAACTGTAGTCATAATTATGTAGCGATAAAATAAAGTCCCGAACCAAATACACATGTGCCGTTTAATGGCGTCAGTTTGTTGCAATAAATAAAATGGCAAAATACTGAATAAAATCGAACGACAAAAATTGATTAAAGTATTATAATAATTGCGGAAATAACCCAATAAAAATTACAAGAACGGCACTCCTATTATTTAAGTATGTATTTCAATAATGTACCGCAAACATTTTTACCCTGCTTAAAGTGGTAGTTGATTAACAAGCCAACTTATCATTAATTGCATAACTTCCGGTTTGTCCGCATTAGGGAACTACGTGAGCCTTAAATCATAACACCTTCTCCTCTCGCATCGAACGTTGTTTTAATTGCTCTATGTAAAGATCACAAACGTACGACAAATAATGTGCATTATTTATAGAGTGAAATTACTTATCGCAAAGTAGGCTAAATTGGGTAAACAACTTCTGCAAGAGTGAACTGGATACCCCTGTAGAAGATACTAAAAACTACCTTTAAATATATATTCATATCCGATATATTTGTGACAAAAATGGAAATGATAAGAATGGTCAGACATTAACCGTTTATACACGCACAAGCGAATTATAGTCACAGAGGAGGCAATATTTCATTCGACAGATATGGATCAAACTTGACCACTAACCGCGTAGAATTTTTGAAGACAATCCTTCATTTCAGGCAGATTTCATCTGACGTGAAGCTTAAGGGTCTCGACATCGACTGACAGATTAGTAAGCATTTTCAATATTCCACTTGCAACCTGCTTTATTAAAGTTTCCTGCGTTGTATTGGGAATACATTAATTAACGGATCCAAAAAAAAGGACATAAGTATTCCAAAAACAAGAATGGATTCTCACAAAACTATAAACTTAGGTTACAAATCACAATGTGGACAAAATGGGTTTGAAATTCGTCGTAAAATTACTAAACGTAAATTAAATTATATAATACAATAATAATACTAAACTCGGTTTTAACTAAAGTGTGCTTTATAACTGAAGAGACTAACTTCACCTGTAAAAGTTTTTACCACACATTTTAAATATTACCGACCAGTATCAGATTTGGTGAAATTTGCCTATGCCGATAATATAGGAACTTATAAAGCAATTATGAACAAAAATTTAGAATATCTATTCAACATGCAACATTTACATTGATTGATGACAGAATTTAAAAATATAACTCAACTTTTCAACGTATGCCGATATAATACTTGTGACATAACTATGGAAAAATGTTAAGAAGTTCCATACAATAGGCGCATGCGCAAGATCTAAAATTTCATTTTCAACCAATGACCTTGCGGTATTCAACAACCAACATGGCACCTGACATATAATTAGAAAATTTTTCAGCAAAATATTTATATTAATTCGGACCGTATAAATAAATTTCCGCGTAGGCATACGAATAAGATAGTACGAATAACCTTACTTGTTCTCATATCAAATCGGTTACAATTTTCGCTACGAACAATTATAAATGATTATTGACAGTCGTACTTTAGAAAGTGAACGTCCGCCATTATTATTTGACATTATTAGTTTTGGTTAACAGCCCCGAAAACTCGAGTGTTAATAAAACAAATCTTATCAGGAGTTTGTCTAATTACCACAATTACAATTCCTTTTATTTGTTTTGTTGTAGAACAAAATAGAAGGTGTAAATAACGAAGAAGTAGAGATCGATATAGATGAACTTCTGGATATGGACAGCGACGAACAGAGACGGAGGCAGCTACAGGTAGATATTTTAGCACGATATATTGTTGAGTTCATACGCTGTGTGCTCTCTATTCATTTTGTTACTATATTTTACATCATATAAATATTAAATCAAATCTATGATTACATATATTTGCATGTAGTGAAATGTCATAGCAAGGAGATTCCCCCACCTATGGGGTTGAGAGTTGTTACAGTCGATTTAGACTTTGATTAGTAACAAGTGCAGGTACATATATAAAGCTAGTGCTGAGCTACCAAACTGTAAACTGAACTGTTAAGTTACCATTTAACCCTTAATACTTGTACTTGACGAAGTGTAAATCGGTTTTAGGTCAAGGTGGTGCTTGGCCTAATTAGGCAGAGGTTTTCGGACTCAAAAATTCAGATTGAAATCGAAAGGAACTGAAATTGATTGAAATCCAAATCTCGCAGATTTATGATTGATTTTTATGTCCTTTATTGTTTCAGAATCTCCTTATAGACGCCAAAGCTTCCCAAAGTGATGTAAATGTAAGTATGAGTACAGCACTGATTTGCACTGATACTGGATGAAAATAGCAAAAATAGCAAAAGCTCTATTCTATATCAAGTCTATAAACAGGGACTAACAAATTATCCGTAGGGAACAAGCTACTACCTCGATATTTTTTTTGACATTCAAATCGAGAAAGAAGAAAACCGCAAATTTACATGAAAAAGTAATTTACTGACTTTTTCCTTTGAACCAACTCGATTTAACTCAAAAAGCATCTATTGAGTTTCTGAAGGATTGAATACATAGACTTTCAACTCTTCACCTCAATTTACGCGATCATTGTGTTATATACAGTGTGTCCAAGATAAGGATGCACAGCATGGGGATCTCGGAAACTATAAGAGATACAGTGTCGGTTAAATTAGACAAAAGTTGCGCATTTTGATACCGAACAAGATCCCGTTTTACAAATTTGAAAATTCCAAGCCGTTCCGGAAATATCCGAGAAAAACCGAAATATTGCGATTTCGTTTTTATTACTTTTTAAAGCTATTTGAAAAGATATGAAAAAACGGAAAACACTTTTCCATTGGCACTTTTTAATCTCTCCAAATTGACGTTAACAAATTTTCATTACAGCGTTTCGATTCCATGGAACCACCATCAACTTTGATTTTTCTTATGGGACGGAAAAAAAGTACACACAGTATTAGGTTGTGCTTTTCATTGCGAATTCAACGATGTACGATACAATACGGTTACTTATGTTTTTATCCAGAAAAATGGCTTTTTAATACATTTCTAGTACTTTATTGTAGTAGGCCATGAGATCCGAACGATGAAAGGCAAAAGAAAATGGTTGACAAGTTCGAGTTAATGTGTTTATTTATTTACTAACTCTAACTGTTCATTTAACATAACAACTAAATCCAACAAGTTAATGAAAAACAAATTCTATAACAAATGTTCGAATAAATGACCTCCATTTTCTAGGCATAAGTACGCCCGTCTCACGGTAGACTCCAAAACACGACTTAACATTTCAGGAGTAATTTTATTAAACGCTGCTCGTACTGATTGACGTAATTGTTCCTCGTTGTCAAAACATTCTTTGAATACCTCATTTTTTATGTAGCCCCATAAGAAAAAGTCCAAGGGAGTTAAGTCCGGGGACCTTGGAGGCCAAGGTGTTTCACTGTAAGTCCCAATGTATTTTCCATCAAACCGTTCAGTTAAATATTGGTGAACTTCTCTGGAGTTATGGGCTGGGGCACCATCTTGTTGGAACCAGCAGCCTTGCACAGCGCCTAGCGGTAAATCATCTAAGGCATCTTCTAAATCGTGCCTCAAGATGTCAAGGTACCGCTCGGAAGTTAAGGAATTATTATAGAAAATAGGGCCTATAATCTTGCTACCAAAAATCCCACACCAAATATTAAACCCAAAGCGAACTTGATGTCTGGATAGTCCATTAACACGTGGATTTTGTTGCGACCAATAGTGTGTATTGCGCCTGTTATAAATACCGTTATTGGTCACCATACTTTCATCAGACCAAATCACTTTATATGGAAAATTAAAACTCTCATCACACATCCTGATATACCACTCACAAAAATGTCTACGTCGTTCGTCGTCACCCGGTTTTAATCCTTGACATATTCTGAATTTGTAAGGCTTAAATTCATTTTTCCTTAAAATAAACTGAGCTGTATATTTAGCTACCCCATTCTGGTCTTCAATTTCTCTGGTAGAAGTTTGTGGATTTTCGATAACAGATTGTAGAACAATGTATTGGTTTTCTTCAATGGAAGGTTTTTGTCGGGATAATGCAGGCTTCTTAAATGATCCATATTCTTTCAGATTAAATAACAAACGCCGAAAAATACTCTTGTCAGGTTGTCTCCGCTCTGGGTATTTGTTAGAATACATACGCTCGGCTTCCACACAATTTCTTTGGCATCAAATGTAGCAAGACAGCATATCACATTTTTCTTCGTTTGTAAAATTACCTCCCTCCATTGTAGAACAAAATAAATTAGAAAAAGACAACAACAATAAAAATACAAAAACAATAACTAAAGGAATAAACTTATGATCGACTCATAACAAAGACAAATAACATTAATGTGTCATTGAAATTGACTGGATGTCATTTTGTCATGGCCTACTCCATTTAAATGCTGAAATGTATTAAAAATCCATTTTTCTGGATAAAAACATAAGTAACCATATTGTATCGTACATCGTTGAATTCGCAATGAAAAGCACAACCTAATACTGTGTGTACTTTTTTTCCGTCCCATAAGAAAAATCAAAGTTGATGGTGGTTCCATGGAATCGAAACGCTGTAATGAAAATTTGTTAACGTCAATTTGGAGAGATTAAAAAGTACCAATGGAAAAGTGTTTTCCGTTTTTTCATATCTTTTCAAATAGCTTTAAAAAATAATAAAAACGAAATCGCAATATTTCGGTTTTTCTCGGATATTTCCGGAACGGCTTGGAATTTTCAAATTTGTAAAACGGGATCTTGTTCGGTATCAAAATGCGCAACTTTTGTCTAATTTAACCGACACTGTATCTCTTATAGTTTCCGAAATCCCCATGCTGTGCATCCTTATCTTGGACACACTGTATTATTATGTTCAAAGAGTATAAGATAGAGGGGAAGGCTCTTATTAGTGGCAATGTACACGAGTTTCAACGCCTCTAGTGATTATGTCCAGTTGAAGACAGAAAATGTAAAAAAAAATTTTTATTAAAATATAAATAAAGTGCGGTTATCCGTTACAAGCTACTGTAGTATTTTCATTGTGACGCATTACTTTAAACCGCCATGACAGTACTTTAGTACTTGGACACAAATATTAGATGGCATTCGTAATGGGGGCTATACACATGCAGGCAAGTCCGCGCGCAAGTGTGTCCAGATAAGTTCACGAGCAAATGCGAAACGAATTGCGGCCTTTCAGGTAAACCTCGAGGTTCTCCGGTTGGTGGGACCTGCTGCTGTGCGAAAAATCAACGTCGAAGAAATGTGTGTGATTGCAACCGCTGTCGTTTTTACAGTTGAAAGTATCGAAAAAAGAAAATAAAAAGACGGAAATGGGTGAAGTCGTGGTTATCCAAACGTAATACATACTCACATGTTCATTTAATAAATGAATTGAGATTAGAATCTGATGATTACAGAAATTATCTGAGAATGGAACGGAATTTAAACAACTCCGCATTATTTTTTTTTTTTTTGATAACGTCGTCCTTTGCTACATCTTCGTTCATTTCCTTAAACTTCTCAACTAAAATTTTGTATGCCTCTTCTTTTAAGATTTTATTGAAATACTCTTTTCATTTTATCGTCCACAAGCACGGATTGTCTAGAATTTGCCATTTTTTCCAGCGACTATTCTGCCACGAAAATTACGTAGAAACAGTCTTGGCGCGAAACCTAAGCAAAACTGAACATACACTGACAAATTCGCCTTCGCACTTGCTCTAAAAATCAGACACAATCTGATTCGCTTCGAGCCACGTTTGGAACTGAACGCGGCCTGAGTTTTGACACATTCGCACTGACTCGCGTGTTTCGACCTGTACAGGCAAGTCTTAACGCTTGCCTGCATGTGTATAAGGCTACTTAACAACCTAAAAGTAAAGTACTCTAAACTTTAATGTGACCAATATAGTATGGCGCCAAATTCGGGATGTTCGACCTGACAGTGGGGTTAAATGAAAAATTATTTGAAAAAGAATAAATATATAAATAGAAATAGAATAAATTTGCACAATATTTAAAATTTTCGATGCCCCTTTATGTATAATTTGCACTGGGAGATATTAACCATGTTTTTTTATTGCAGAAATTTATTGGCGACCTGCTCGAGAAGGCGAAGACTCTCTAAGTTGTAGTGAAGTGCCAAACCGACGTACTGTGAAACAATGTTGTCCAGTGCAGGTGACATTTTCAGCTTTAAAATTCGAACCGGACGTGCAGTGATGGAAGCAAAATTATAATTTGCACAAAAGTAAATAATGATTTACCTAAACAAGTAACTAAGTATCCATCCTGTCTTTTTTAATACAATACAAAGGGATTATTTGCCCATTTTGTTACTAAGTTTAAGTATTAAAAAGGGATAATAATTCATTAAAAAACAGAATCAGTTAACCGCCAAGACTGAGACAAAAGAATCGAGAAAAAACGACCAAAACTTATTTCAAATCAATCTCATAAATTATCTGGCGTTTTTAATCTCTCTATTTAATAACTTCCTCGCAAATGTTACCCCCAAACACTTCAAAATGTTAAAAATTTCAAAGCGCACTGGTTGCCATAATATTGTGGAACAAAAGTAATTTTAATGTTAATGCTGTTGCATAATAATAAGAGTACCATATGTATTTATTATAGCGCATTGTATTCTTAGTTAAGCCGTTTAGTTTAGTAAATGATGTAAACAGCAATTTTGCAACATACCAAAGGAATAAAATCAATCTTTTAGAGTTATTCTAATTATACTTTTGTTACAATAATTGTTTCCTAATTGAGCTGCCTTTTCTGTAAGTAGGTGCATATCATTATTTGATATCCACAGAATTTTTTGGTTGACAAAGAAATCCTTTTACTAAGATCTGGAACATCTTATTGCTGCACTCCAGCAATCTTGTTTTTTGTATTAAAGCATAATTTCCGTATTTTAAGGGTTATTATTTCAAAAAATTTAATAATCATATAAATAAAATAACTCCTTCATAATTTTCTAGTTTCTTTTTTTTTCCTTGTCAGCCAATCAATTTTTCACTTCTTGCCCCATGTAATATATATCGAAAGTTTCCTACATTACATTGTATTTTTTGTTAATTGTTAATTATTCGTAGTCGCATAAGTAAAATTTTTATTAAGATTGATTGTTAAAAATTTGAATATGTCATATCAGTAAAGGTTTGCAATAGTTTATCTTCATTTGCAAACAATATAAAATGGTTTATATATTATCTTTCATCCCGGAATTTAAAAAAATAAATTTGGTTCCAAAACCTACAATGGTCCCTTACTTGTTTGGTCACGCTTATGCTCAGTCAATATGAATAAATAAGAAACTGAACAATTTCATAAATAATTCAATACAAAGCTTATTGTATTGCGAGATGTTTTCTTTATTGGAACAGAGCAGTAGCATCCTTTGCTTGACGCTAGTAGGAGGTACCTTCTCACGGATCATTGTGATCTCAGCATCTCTTTTTTTACTAATTGTTTTTGTGGTTATACCGTATCATATTATCATTAAATGTAAGATTAATTTTAATAAATAGTAATTGAATAGAAATATTGTTTTAATTGCAACTTTCGCTAACACAAAGCTTAAGGTCTTCATTTTTTATTGAATAAAAATATATATATAAGCGGTCAAGTCATAATATGATTGCCAGTTTGTTTTAGGGTGTGTTTTATAGCATCCCAAGTACAGATTTAAGTCATCTGAGATTTAGGTTTAAGTGAATGAGTGAGGCCGTCATATATTTATTTATTTTGTGCGGATATGTCCATCAGTTTTTCAAGTTCCAAATTATCCTAATTTTGAGTATGGGATCCTTCCCACGACCGGAATTCGGCACAGGACCTCAAAAAAATAAGGTGTTGCCTTTATGCTTAAAGAATTAATATAAGCTTTATAACCTTCTGCTTTACATGAAATATTACTAATTTAAAATTTATACGTTTTCTTTTAATTTCGCTTGGATAACCGAATTTTATTTTTTTTAAAATGTGATTGGTAACCATGGATATAAACTCAATCAACATAGTTTATTTTAAATAAAAAGAATAACATAAATTGCTAAGTTTGATTGGTTCTTACCTATTCTTGTTGATTAATTGTAAACGTCTTCCGAGTCCTCCAGTTAAATGCACGATTTAGCCACAATTAATGCATAAACAAAAGATATAAACGGGAGACATCAACGTTTTTTGAAGCAACTTATTGTCAAATTTTGATTAAAGAAGCTAAAGTTAAATTTTAACCGTCTATTCAATTTACAAATCGGTAAGTACGATAATTTATTTTATCCCGCACAAGTCTTCGCATCTTTGTGCGCATGCGGAAATATTTAAAGTTAGGTTAGGTTCTTTTATCTTGCATATTACCAAATGAACACTTTTTTTACGTATGAAAATTGAAAAAGCAATAATAATACCTTGTTAGCGACTGTAAATAATTCTCTTATGGCACCAGTTGAAGATAACGATAGCGGTATGGAGTCTCAAGAAGGGTCACAATCTGTGGACGCAGAATTCGAAAAAGACTTGCAGGAGGACAGTAGGGAAAAGGATACGGTTAAAGAAAGAAAACAACCAGCTATAGAAGCAAGCGAAGACAATGACGAGGTAATTTTTGAGTATTGCCCTGAACTGAACTGAATTCTTATGTTGTAACTTAAATTTATAACATTTCAGCCAGAAGAAACCTTTTCCGAAAGATTATGGGGTCTTACTGAAATGTTTCCCGACTCCTTACGAAATTTTACTCACGCTACAGTTGTAAACACCAAACAAGGAGTCAAACAGGTGTACAATTTTTCTCGAAATGCATCTTGGATAGTTTTTAGTACCTCAATAATTTTGTTTGCCCCACTTATTTTTGAAGTGGAAAGGGCAAATATGGAGGAAATGCAGCGAACTCAACAGAAACAGGTACAAGAATGTGTATTTGTTATGAATAGCACCATCATTACAAATTACCGTTTTGTAGATGTTATTGGGACCCAATAGCGCTATTTCTGGAGGAGTGCCTCCTCCTCTAATGCCTCCAATGCAACAGCAGCAGAGATAAAGCATCCAGAAGACCTCTTTAGATTTTAGTTTTTTTTTAATTAATTTATCAAACTACAGACATTGTAAATTATTTGTTATTACCTGATTTACAGTTTTCGTCAGTGGGATGTTAATTGCATTTTCACAACCTAAGTGCATTCTTTAGGATGTGAATACCATGCTTTGTGTATATTTAATAAAATAGATCATAGAGACCCTACTTTTCTTTAAAAATTATTTTTCAATCAATTTATTAGGTTTTTAGTCTGCGGTGGGTTGCTACGGTTGTTAAATTCATTTGCGAATCGAGTTCATGTCCGAAAGTTTTCAAAATCAAATCGCACTTTTTCTAAATCAAATGAAATAACTTTTTTTTGTTCGGCTAAATGGTAAAAGAAGAAGAGTGGGTGGGCGAATGTCAAAATATAAAGTATGATCGAAATAGGTTAGATTGAAAATTAAAATATAATTTGTTCTTACTTTTTTTGTATTTTCTCGCGATAAGATAAAGTTCAAAAATTTAACAGAATAATTTCATTAATAGGATGGCACATACAGGGGTATTGCCTTTCGTAAGGGGAATAGATTTTACTAGAAATGACTTTAGCGTAAGTATTTGTTGGAACACTGTTATGGGTACAACGGCATTTAAAAACCGTTTCAGGGAGAAAAATTTCCAGAAGCTGTCAATAGTATGACAGGGGTTCAATGGCTAAAATTGGATCGTACAAATTTGGTTGAAATACCCAAAGAAATGGGCAACCTCCTTAAACTAGAACATCTTTCACTCATGCGGAATAACTTGGAAAAATTGTATGGAGAACTGACCGAATTGAATTGTTTAAGAACACTGAATTTACGCCATAACAATGTTAAAACTTCAGGTATTCCTTCGGAGTTGTTTCATTTGGAAGAACTGAGTACACTAGATTTGAGTCACAACAATTTGAAGGAAGTGCCAGAAGGCTTGGATAAAGCCAAATCATTACTGGTTTTAAATCTAAGTCATAATCAGTAAGGACATTGTTTTGTTAGCATTTGTTTTCAATGATTATTAAGATTTGTTTAATTCTAGCATTGATGCTATTCCAAATTCCCTTTTTATTAATTTAACAGACTTATTATTTTTGGATTTGAGCAATAATAACTTGGAAACATTACCTCCACAAACACGAAGACTTGCCAATCTTCAGACATTGGTACTGAACAATAACCCTCTAGGACATTTTCAAGTAATCATTTATATTTGAACAAGTAATTGCTAATAACATTTTCTTTCTTTTAGTTAAGACAATTGCCATCATTAATAAATTTAGAAACATTACATTTGCGAAACACACATAGAAACTTAAGTAACTTTCCCACAAATTTGGAGAATTTGGTAAACTTATGTGATGTGGATTTAGCACAAAATGCATTACCCAAAGTACCTGAGGCGTTGTATTCCTTGCCCAATTTAAAGAGGCTTAACTTGAGTGATAATGAAATTACAGAAATTTCGACAGGTAAGGTTGAAGTCAACCTGTTGGTCTGACCTATATGTAAGTTTTTAGCCATGGAATTTTGGCAGAAACTTGAAACACTGAATATATCCCACAATAAGTTATCAAGCCTTCCGGCTAGTTTATGTAAATTAGCATTGTTAAGAAGGCTGTATGTTAATGATAATCAGCTTGATTTTGAAGGAATCCCGTCAGGAATTGGTAAATTGGGGTGTTTGGAAATATTTTCTGCTGCCCACAATCAGCTGGAAATGATCCCTGAAGGACTTTGCAGGTTATTTCAGAGAAGTAACTTATGAAAGTCTACTCTGGATTTTCATATTTTAGGTGTGGTTCATTAAAGAAGCTCAACCTTAATTCAAATCGTCTTATCACATTACCAGATGCTATTCATTTGTTAACGGATTTAGTTTTATTGGACTTAAAAAACAATCCTGATCTCATAATGCCTCCAAAACCTATTGAATTGACCCAAGGAGCAGGGCTGGAGTTTTATAATATTGACTTTTCACTGCAAAATCAGCTTAGATTAGCTGGAGCTAGTATTCCTGCTCCAGCTCCTTCTCAGAGTAAGCTCAATTTTTTGAGTGTACCTTGGTGTAGAAGTTTCTATGTAAGCTTGCCTATATTCATTTGTAGATCTGAGTAAAGACCCTATAGCAAGAAAAATGAGACTCAGACGTGGACGTCGCGATCATGAAGAGGCTGATCAAGATCAAGCCAAAATTCTAAAAGTACACATAATTTGCTAGTCATTTCATAAAATTTACTTATTTTGATTCACATTTTAGGGTATGAAAGATGTTGCTAAGGAAAAGAATAAAAGTGCTCCAGATGAAGAACGATTGGATTCTCTTAAGTAAGTAAACTCCAAATCCTTTTGGACAGGAGGCAATTGTCGTGCAATATTCCCTTGCTAAATAAAATTCTATTCTGCGACCATATTATGTTCAAATAAATTTAATTTCCTCTTTACTGAGAAAAGAAAAATAAAAAAGAAAGTCCAGGAAACTTTCAGAAACTATTCACAATCGAAAGTGAGAAATGTCAAAAAGTATAAGACCTGCCACATCACAGGGTTTTAAATAATTTCAAAAGGATGATATGCATTATTACTTGTAGTGTGGATTTAAGACCGAAACGTTGGGACGAAACATTAGAAAAGCCACCTCTGGACTACTCAGAATTTTTTGAAGAAGATGCTGGCCAAGTTGCTGGCCTTACCATTTGGGAAATAGAGAATTTTTTACCAAATCGCATAGAAGAAGTGGCATATGGAAAGTTTTATGAGGGTGACTGTTACATTGTTTTGAAAACCACAGTTGACGAAAACCAGTCATTGAGTTGGGAAATCTACTTTTGGATAGGTGAAAAGGCACCAGTAAGCTGACCTGTCAATAATTTAGTTTTTCAAAAATTGCATTTCATTCATTTCTAAATATTGCAGCTTGATAAGAGAGCATGCTCTGCAATTCATGCTGTTAATCTTCGAAACTACCTTGGCGCACAGTGTAGAACTATACGGGAAGAGCAGGGCGACGAATCGGAAGAATTTCTCAGTTTATTTGATTCACAGATTACTTATATAGAGGGCGGGAGAACTTGTAGCGGTTTCTATACTGTGGAAGATTTGGTAAGAGAATGCATAGTGTACAAAAGTTGCATTAAGTTTATCGATCACATTTTCTAGACATTCGAGACACGGTTCTACAGGATTCATGCTGCCGGTCCATCTATTCATTTAGAGCCTGTACCAATATCTGCTCATTCATTAGATCCCCGTTATGTTTTTGTCTTGGACAAAGGGAGCAAAATTTTCTTGTGGAACGGGAAAAAGGCGAAAAACACTTTAAAATCAAAAGCAAGATTGATGTGCGAAAAGATAAACAAAAACGAAAGGAAAAACAAATCGGAGATTGTTAGCGAATTTATTGTCGGCGAAAATAAGGAATTTTGGTCAACGCTTGGTCTTCCAGATGACATACCACCACAAGATGTTATCACGGTGAGTTTTTTTTTCTTATATAATTTTAAATTTATCATCCCGATAATCTAATTTTACAGGAACATGTGGATCCGAACTTTAATCCCGTCCAGCCGCGTCTTTACCGTGTTCAGCTGGGTATGGGTTACTTGGAACTACCTCAAGTGGAAGTTCCGCAGGCAAAGCTTGTAAACACTTTGCTGCATAGCAAAAACGTTTATATTCTGGATTGTTATCTGGATGTATTTGTTTGGTAGGTGAAATTGTTTTTTACATGCAGTTTGCAGTCCTATCGCTTATAATTCGGATTTTATGAATTACTAACCATTTTTCTAATTTTATTTTAGGATTGGTAAGAAATCTACCAGGTTGGTGAATGCCGCCGCAGTCAAACTATCGGAAGAACTGTTCAACATGATAGATCGGCCTGAACACGCCCTAGTCACAAGGGTTCGAGAAGGTACTGAACCACAGGTGAGTCTTTCTCACTGACACAACCAAGCATATATGCTTTTGCGTTTTGAAACTCTTTATTTTGTAATAATTAACATGTTGAATTGTTGATCAGAATTGTTGCGGAAAATGTCAGTTAATACGGCTAAGACTGGATTCAGATTGACCTTTCAAGCTAAATATATAGAAACCTTACCTAAGCGAATATGGGCACTGGGGCACAACGGGCCCATCTGGTGGCCTAAGTGCTTGGACGCCCGCGAGGGCGCCCCCCTTTAATACCAATACCAATACCAATGGGCACTATCAAAATCAACATAACAAAATGTTAAAGACAAATATGAAAAAAAATGAAACTTACCTCATGCCAAAATGAGAGTTTGTGAATTCGCATTTTTTTTTTCGGAAATATTTTAATAAACAATCCCCATGTCGCGTCAAATTTTTATGAAAAAGCTAAGTGTGCGGAGATTGTGGTTTAAAAAACACTGAGCCAAATAAAAAATTAGTGTGTGACATTTAGTTACGTGCACAGGTGATTTCATTATTCACAATGTCAAAACCGCCTAACATGTAGCAAGTTATCTCATCCGATTATCGGATTTTAAATAACTATGGAAATGTATAAATTGCAGATATTCAAATGCAAATTCAGTGGCTGGGACGAGGTGATAGCTGTCGATTTTACCAGGACCGCAGAGTCAGTTCAGAAAACGGGAGCTGATTTGACCAAGTGGGCCCGTCAGCAGGAGACCAAAGCCGACCTGACCGCGTTATTCACTCCAAGGCAACCATCAATGCCTCTAAATGAGGCGCAACAGCTGATGGAAGAATGGAATGAAGATTTGGAGGCGATGGAGGCGTTTGTATTGGAAGGGAAAAAGTTTGTCAGATTACCAGAAGAAGAACTAGGTAAATAATAAGTAAATTATTATTTTGGTTCTTTGATTTATTTGTATAAACCATCAATGTTACTTATGTGCGCATTTTTTTATATTTTCTAAGTTTGCCTGCTCAGCGTGAAGTGAAAAATATTTTTTTCAGGCCATTTCTATTCAAAGGACTGTTACGTTTTCCTTTGTCGTTACTGGGTGCCTGTAGATGATGGGGAAGAGGATCTAGTTGAAGATGCGGATGATTTTCAATGTGTCGTTTATTTCTGGCAGGGCAGAGAAGCTTCAAACATGGGCTGGTTGACTTTCACATTTACATTGCAGAAAAAATTCAAATCTCTATTTCAGGTTTGAAAAACTTACTTTACTTTTGCGCCTTTGGTATGACTATAAGCTTTCAGGATAAACTGGAGGTGGTCCGAACCCATCAACAGCAGGAAAACATGAAATTCATGGCCCACTTTAGGCGCAAATTGATTATACATCAAGGAAAAAGGAAAGTCAAAGAGAAAAACGTTGTTGAATTTTATCATTTGAGGTCAAATGGTAGCGCCCTCTGCACAAGGTTGGTACAGATTAAGCCTGATGGGTCACTACTGAACTCTGCTTTTTGGTAAGTTTTTTATTTTAAAATGGTAACGTTTTACGCAGTGAAAACTACACTATTAATCGTCCAAATACTTATATAAGATGTAGAGTATTGAGCGGGGCCATAACAAGGGGATTAAGGTAGTGCATGTACAGATTTTTCATTTATAGGTTGAAACTCACCTACCAAGTTCATTAAACCGACTAGGTTAAAACTTTTTATATAAAAATATTATGATTTTTTTGTCTATTATCTTATTATATAATAAAAATAAAACAAATGAACGTAAAACCATTTTAATTAATATTTGTCTGAATATTTAATTAAACATAAACTAAGTAATCACATAACATATTCATTAGCCTGGATTTGAAATCAATGGGACCTAGCTATTTCTGAGAAATACTCCAATATATCATTTATAGTGAACTCTAAAGTAATCATTGAGCCAGGGTAACATTGTTGAATCAACTCTTCAAGCATTTTGTACTGTCTAATGAATTCTTCTTGCATTGCCCGCCATACTACCTGCAGCAGGTTACTCTCTTCCGATAGATGTTTCTCCACCTTTTTATACAAATGTTCTATACCTTTTTTCACAACACTTCCTGGATACTGGTTAATTACTTTCCTAAGTTCTTGTTTACTAAAAGCTAGCTGGTAGCTTACTTCCGAGGCTTTGACGCCACTTGCTACTCTAGCTTGCACTCCTTCAAAAAATGTATTAAGTTTTTCCAGAGGCCTGCCAAAGTATAAAGTTACATAAGACTGCAACGCGTCACTATACTTTTGTTTGGTTTCTTTCCTCTGATTTTCGAGAACTGTTATTTTTAATTGGGAAAGTAAAGAATACAAATAATGATAATTTTCCATTTTAATAACCTGGGAAGGGGTTTTTTGATCATTGGCGTGCAGTGCAATGTACTCAATAATTGTATCTACCAATCTTACATACCACTTTTCCAAGTCAGCTGCTCTGTCACTCCTAAGAAGACATTCAGCATTCGCTGCAAATACTTCCAAATTTAATACATAAGGCAGTATGCCGCACTTTGTTTTCCGAGCCATTCTACACTCTTTGATGGACTCAATTTGCATTTGCGCAAACTGATCTAGAGATCTTTTTACTTCAATCAGTTCTGACGCGAAAGTATTACTCAAAAAAGAACTTTGGGCCGACATTACATGTTGATTGAGTCGAACTAAAACATACATGCAATAGAAACTGTCCTGCCTTTTGATGTGTTCTATGAGTAGGTCAAGTTCCATCTTAAGACATGAAAATAAACTGCTCATCATATTTTTAACATCCTCATCTATCTGTTTTTCTACTTTTCTTGGTGGAATGAGTTCAGGAGGTTGTATTTCAATACCATCTAAAGTTGTAAGTGTATTTTTTGATGTGGGACTTAGAACGTCTAGTTGAAAGAATTTGACACAAAATTGCTGTTCTTGAAGAAAGACTGGCTCCAATTGAGTTAACACTTGTTCTAAAACATTCTCATATCGTTTACGATCAGTAGTGCTTATTTCTAAAGTCCAAAAATCCCTATCTAGACCCAGTAATGATGTGGGAGTTGTTAAATTATAACCCCCGATTTTTTCTCTTGCCGAATTGAAAAGGCCCCTTAAATCCCTATCATACAGCTTCCCTAGACTTGTCATATAAACCTCTTTCAGTGAATCATAAATCTTTTTGTCCATTACCTTCAGCCAGTGCATTAATTCGGTATATGAGTATAACTCTTTATGTACTCCATTATGCTGGGGTAAAATTAAACCTTCAATGGTTTTATCTGACTCACCTTTATGGTTACCATAATGAATAAATAAATTATTCAGTTGACGGCTTAGGGTCCTTGAGAATTTTTCTTTATATTTTTCAAATTTTTTCCTCTGTTCTTGGACGGCAGTCATCTGTAAAAGGGCCTTAACAATATTTGAATTCATTGCTGTCTTTAAAGCATCAGCAGCTTTAATAGCCATTAACAAACCTTCTCTACTGGTAAAGTCTGCATCATCAAGAATTTTTTGATACTCTAGTGGCAAATCCAAAGTGACTATAACATTTTCTAGTTCAGCCATCAACAACAAGTTGTTTCGATTTACAGTGGAGATGACTGTATTTTTCTTCTCCATTTTTTCCATAGTGTCCCTAACATGACACAGAATTTCTTCATAACTGTCCAATTGTTTTTCCAAACGATCAGCTTCATTGATTGCCAAATCAAGTTGCTCCATCAATGTTTCCAACTGTTCCTCAGAAGCTAATAAACACTGAACATTTTCGCTGTCTAATAATGATAAGTCTCTATTTAAAATTTCCATGAATCCTTCAGCATTGCTTATAGCAAATTCACAGCCCTGCATCAAACGTTTTAAATCATCTTGTTCCTTATCAGTAATTGCTTGGAAATCTTCAACAAAATCAGTGTCTAGAGTCATCATTGGTGACATAATGAAATTACTTTCAGGCGTTAATGTGTCTTCTGTAATCCAAGCTTTTGGTAAATTTTTAAAAACTGGCATATCCTTCATTATATGTTTTGATGATTGCTTCCAGAGGCACCTTATAAAATTGCATCTTTCCTTAGGATTAGTAGAAACCCATCTATACACTTTGTCAAAGTATAAATCAAATTCCTGAGTATCATATTGCTCATTATGGCCATCTACTGATTTTAATTCAACTAATGACCAGCTGCGTTTTCTTTTATAAGACTGTTTTTCTGTTTGTTTTACTTGGACTATTGATACATTGAAGGGTACACTTGTAGTGCTGATCAGACACAGAAAAGAGGTCTTTTTCTTTTTAAGATACTTGCTAACATGACAGTGAATTATAAGGCGCTCCTCGCCCAAATTGAATACATCCTGTTGCAAGGCACGTACTATCGAAGTCATAGCGTCGAATAAATTAAGCAAAGACAGTGCTCATTAATATAAAACTGGCTTCTTGACATTTCCAAATCTTCTTAACTGCGTGAGGACACTGAGCCAAACCCACAGATTTTAGAGAAAGGGGTTTGTAAATGTATCTCTTGCAACTTATGGGTCATTCACTGGTTGTAAAAGAAGAATCTAAATTAAACTTTTTTATAAATTTAGCACAAACAATTCTGGATTTCCAAATTAAAAGCACAACATAAAGTTGGAAGTTAAAGCATTCGTAAAATGCAAATATTTTATGTATTTTTTTTTTGTTAATTTTTAGCCAAAGTGTACATTTTAAAAATCAAAATTAATTTGTAAAATGGAAGGAAAGATGTTTATAGTACTTTTGGAAATGACTTCGCCTTGTAGAAGAAAACAATTTTAATGGTACACACTATAATAAAAGATTTTAAAGTTACTCTTTTCGGTTCCCAATAAAAACGCAAAAAATGTTTTTTTTTGTACGTTATACGCAAAATAATTACAATTCGTTCAAAAATGCAATTATGACATACTATTTCACTGTTCTATTTGTGAGGGAAAGAAAACACCGACAAACTTTGTGTGTAATCATCAATACTCTCAATGAAATAATTTTCGTGCTTGTTTTCACTCTTAGAATCTTCTTTGGAACCAATGCATCTTATCTTGATTTTTTGACCAGTAGGAAGCTGATATTCTGCGCCATCGCTATTGTCTTTTTTTTCATGACCAACTACTTGTATAGTCAGTTTCCTGAAGTTTTCCCCATTGCCAAAAGCGTTGTGATTGTCCCACCATTCTCTAACTTCATTTGCTTCCAATGTGTGTATTAAGTCGATTTCTTGTTTTAGTCTGTCAAAAATATAGTTATCCTCAGTTATTTCTGACCAATTACGATCGACTTCCTCTTTTAGGTGAACATCGGTGCACTGTTTTGTTTTAATTAAATTACTTTTCATCTTCATGAACTCCTGTTGATCCATTTGTTTAAGTAAATACTGGGTGTGTTTTAAAAAGTTTTCTATCCTCTGATCAACATAATCAGTGGTGTTTTTCGTAGCCTGAGCATTTACGGTTACTGTGTAACCCAGAACACCAAATGTGTCCCTTAAAGAACAGTATACATGATAACCTAATTGCTCTTTAGTTCTCAAAATATCAAATAGTGGTTCTTCAATGATCAACATAATCAATTCCAAAATCACGCTTTTTTTTAATGTTACTGGCCCAGATTGATAGTAGTTAGTGATAATTGAATTGGTATCTGAGGTATTGATATTCATTATACGACAGCATCTTTCACCTTTTGATACTTTAATCACTTTAAACTTGGGATAATTCTCTTTTTCCAGTGGCTTATACTTCAGATTATTGACAAACTCATTCACAGTTTTCACTGCTACTTCTTCCTCCACATTACCTTGTACCAAACATTTAACCAATAAAGTTTCACAATAATCCTTCATGAACAACTTCAAATCTTCACAAGTAACATTGAGCATTGCAGAGTATCTGTCAGCAGGATTCCAATGGTCTTTAAGTAACAAGTTTAACCTGATGTCCTTAGCCAAACCAGATGGCTTAAGTAATTTATTGTGATAACTTTTAAGCAGTTTATCTTTTAGTGCATTGAACATAACTGGTGTTAGATGTTCACTCAAGGAGGTTAAATATTTGCTTATTACATTTATAAGCATAGGCAATTTTTCATTAAACCCATATATTTTAATAACTAGACCTCTTTCAAACATTGAAAATTCATATGAGAGACCTGCACTAGTAGCTGGATATATTTCCTCTGCTATATCAATAGTGATTAGGTTTACCATCATATCGACCATACAAGCATATTTGGGTGATTTAATAGACATCACATTAATCAAATAAAAATAATAATAGGCTATGGGCAGCTTAAATTTTTGATCCCTTCTATACCACAGTTCAACAAAAGAATTATCTAATATCTTACTTGGATATTCGGGATTGTTTACAATCTCTGGTAGAATTGTGAAATCATGTGTTATGTATGTGTTTGGTGGAGGCACACTTAATTCCGGATAAGGTTTGACAATTTTCCACTGCTTTTTCCAATCCTGCGGTATCTCTCTATCTGTAAATTCAGTACCAAACCACTTCTCTTGCTTGTCAAACTCGTAACCGGCAGGCAAGTCTCTGCTTAACACCAAAATGTTGACTTTGTCTGGTGTCATCTTATCCAAAACCATAGTTATGGCATCAGGATCATATTCATAATAAAGCTCGGAACCGGTAAGGTAGTCCTTAGGAGGATATGATTGCATGGACTCACATAAATCTTCAACAAAATCAACTGCCCGTTCTTCCTGGGAAAACCGAAACTGAGTATCAGTTATATTTTTAACCTCATCAAAGATTCTTTCCTGGGGCCCTAAATATTTAAGCATATTTATGTAGGCAAATACTGCTTCAATTGTTTCACAAGTGTGAAGAAATCCTTGGTCAGTTAATGCCAAATTAACACTGAAAAATGTGTACAATGAATTGTGTTCTATACCTTGTTCTTCATTTCCTATTGAAGTGCCCAAAGCCCAAACTTCTTTTTTTAAATACGAGAGCAAGCTCCCCTTGCCTTCATCTCCAAGTAGGTAGGATATATAATGATGCGGCTTACTTCTATATTTAGATTTCAGAGATGGCAAAGCCCAAGTGAGATTTATTTGACGTAAATCTTTTATGGGCTTTATGTAGTATACTCTGTTGAATTCAGGAGTGTCAAATATATTTTCAGCATATTTTGAATAATCATATCCAGGCAGACCATTGGTAGGAACATCAGAGAAACATTGAAGCACATATTCCTCCAATTCTTCAGTTGGCAATCTTGCCTGAATGGCCAATGTCATTCTATGGGCTGAATAGTGGCGTTTTCTGAACTCGTGCACACCTTTATAAAGCTCATCATCTGTTATGTTTTCCTTTAGTGTTATTAAATTGCCCCAAGGAAAAGAATTAACTGGCGAATTTTTGGTTGCAAAGCTGCATAATAGTTGTTCTATTCGGGATATGTCAGAACTGACTGCCATCTGAAACTCAGACTCTACTGCCTCCCTCTCCCGCGTCATAGCTTCTCTTTTCATCAAGGGTGATATAAAAAATTGAGCAAACTTTTCTAAACCTTCAAGCAAATTTTTTTCAAGGCACTCAAAATAAAAGATCGTAGTTTCTGCATCTGTGGAGGCATTATCATGACCGCCCCCTTTTTTTATAAAGGAATCAAAGTCATTTTCTTCAGGAAATTTTTCGCTGCCCATAAACACCATATGTTCAAGAAAATGAGCCATTCCGTTCACATTCTTAGGGTCACTAAAACTGCCTACTCCAATACACAAACCCGCCGCAGCCATTTTCTGTTCTATAGATCCTTTAGAGCCAACATGTTCTTCGTCGCTGCTTTCTTCAGTCCCCTCACTTTCTGTCGTGGAATCCTCTTCAGAAGCAGAGTCTGACTCAGAACCAGATTCTTCAAAATCTTCATTCTCGATAGGACTTTTGTCTGATATTAGACAAGCTGTCAAACCGTTTCCAAGACGAATTACTTTATATTCTTTTTTATCGCTATCGCTTTTTGTTGGTGTTTCTAACACATAAAATTTTTGTTTTGCATTGGTTAGATTAACTTTACAACTAGCATTCAAATTAATTTTAGCTTTTGTTGGGTTGTTCGTTTTATTTGATTTATTCATAATTATTGATGATAGGTTTTTTACCAATGTAGGGAACTTGCTTCTTAAATAAGGAAATATCACCATAAATTCTTTTGTTTGCCTCAAATGTCAAAACTTTTGCACGTTTTTTTATGTGGCCGTGCGGCCACATGTAAATTTTATTTAAAGGAAGAAGCATCCTTCAAGATTACATGTCGATTTTTTAGATTTAACGGTAATTAATTAACAATTACCCTAAATTTTAACTACAGATAAATTGTTCCTAGGTTTGGATTTAAGGTGGACCTTTTATTTTAAATTATTTCTTTATATACAAAAGGAATTGGGGCTAAAGGAGTGACGTCAGAGACGGTACTCGAATGTTAAGTAATAAAAATTTCTAGCTACATATTAAAGGTGCCGTTCGAGCAAGATGATGACTGCGACTCAGGAATTGTTTACGTATGGATTGGATCGAAATCTGATCCTGATGAAGCTCGTTTAATCCAGGAAATAGCTGAGGAAATGTTTAACAGCCCTTGGGTGACGCTGCAAGTGTTGTCAGAAGGTGAAGAACCAGACAATTTCTTTTGGCTGGGGTTAGGGGGAAAGAAGCTTTACGACAAAGATGCCACTTTCATGGATTATACGAGATTGTTTAGATGCTCAAACGAGAAAGGATATTTTATCGTTTCCGAGAAGTGTTCAGATTTCTGTCAGGTTAGTTTGTGTTTTTAAAATGATAATTTAGGGATCTGAGGTAGTCTGAGGTTGATTTGAGTGATTTAATACTATAGTTACCTGAAATTATGCATCAAATCCCTCCATAGTGATGATTAATTTGTATTTTTGCCCTGAATATTGCACAAAAAGATATTGGTAGCCCCCTGATAAAGATGTGAGCTCATTGAAATCAGGAAATAATAAGAAATGTTAGTCGCATTTACATTTAGATAAATAAATAAATACAGATGACAGTAGAAAAATAAAAAAAACAATCCCCACTATTATAAAAAATTAAAAATTAAAATTAATGAAAATTGTACTCACAAATTAAGCAATTTTTATTTTAAATAGGTGTTTCTATATTGAACAATGCAAAGAAAAATTAACAAGGTTTTTCAATTAATATTTGAATGCTTTTCATGGAGAATTATTTGGATGTGGCTTAAATGACTTTCATATTTATTGATGCGTCCATGTGCTCTATAAGTTTTCCTTGCCGATATTACCGGTGCTTGAGACACTTGTATGTGACAGATGTAATAATCTGCAGGATCCTTGCCTATGTATTCACAATTTGAACAAGCATTTCTGAGAAGATCTTGAAGGCATTTCACGGCATTTATAGGCCAACGACCCTAATTTTTAAAACAATTTTCCATGTTTATCACAGATTCTTCAGCTTCCATAAAAAAAAGTAAATATATACTTACAATTCTAGCATTAAATTGTTTGGCCTGTGGGCATTTTCCAATCCCGCTTTTAAACTTTTTAAAAGGCACACATTCTTTGTGGGCCAACACATTTTTTAGGAATGCCAATGCCCTATCAACGGACATATCTCGGATGGTAGCAGCAGACTCAACTAAATTTTTAAATTTAACGCGTACATTTGACGCTTTTGCTTTGACTAGATTTGTCTGCAAGGACCTTTTATAAAGAAAATAGGGACCTTTCGGTATTTTTGTCATTTGATAATTTGCCGCGCTTCACTTTTTGGTTGTTTATTGAAGCTTAGGTGAATCAAAATTAAAGCTACTTGATTTGTTTGTTAGAATTATACCACAGATAAAACTTTTTGTGTTAAATTTCAATTCAAACTATTTGAAACTTATGGTGATCCTACGAATCAAAGCGACGCATTTCCATCCACTGTTCTGTACTAATCTCGCAGTCCTTTTGAATATCTATGGTCTGTGTTTAAAAAATACTTTAATTCATGTATGGGAACAAAAAAAGTGATGAGTTAACAATGATGCTTTTTACCAGTGCGTCTATCAAAATGATATATCCTGTACAAATTTAAAACTAAAAGAGAACAGATAATGTGAATAATATTTAACTAAAGAACCAAAAATCACTAGATTATAAAGTTGGTTATTTTTATTCAATTTAAAGCAATGTTTAAAAACGTTTATGGGTTTCTAATTAAGCTTTGCACACGTTGCATGAGTTATTAACAAACAGGCTACGATTTAATTACAATTTTGATTAAAAATAACTGTTTTATTTTAAAATATTTATGTTTAGGATGATTTAGCAGATGATGATATAATGATTTTGGATAATGGCGAGCAAGTTTTCCTATGGCTGGGAGCAAAGTGTAGCGAAGTGGAAATAAAATTGGCTTACAAATCTGCCCAGGTAAGCCACCTGACATTGGGTTGCGGATCTTACCTTTTATTCCGCATTCTTTGCAGGTTTACATTCAGCACATGAGGGTAAAACAACCAGAACGACCAAGGAAACTTTTCTTGACACTGAAGAATAAAGAGTCAAAACGTTTTACCAAATGCTTTCATGGATGGGGACTCCATAAGAAACCTCCAGAATAAAAATTGTTTAAGAATTTTTATAGAAATTTCTCTCTTGCTTGGTGATAAAGTTTTTAAGTAATATTACAAAAACTACAATTTTAAGTTTCTATTTATTTATTGGCAATTATATACATTTCTAATTATAAAAGCAGTAAACATAATAAGCGTTTCATTGTCTTTCAACTGATTGATATGAAGTTTAATCATCGTCATCATCATCATCTGAAGGAACAAATAGATCATTCTCTTCCAAAAAATTTGCTACATTTTTGCTAATGCCGGCGCCAATTAAAAGGCCAATAGTTACAGTTAAAAATACCTTTAACAGGCCAAAGCGAGTTTTCTGGGGTGCAGGCAGAATGAGTCCCTTTTTCGTTGTAGTTGCTAATCTCACTGCTTCTTTTTGTGGTTGAGGCCTACCTAGAATTTGGACCAATTTAACGGTGGAAGCAACTCGAGTTAGCATAGTCAATTATTATAATTCCTTGTATGGGTCACACAAGCTTCTTATTTTAACCTATTAGGTCGTCGACCATAGGTTTTTTCTTCTTCTTTTCAGGTATGCCGAAGTGACTAAGGTAATAGAATATGAATATATTTTCATTAACTTATGTTCTTCTTTTTTACACGTTTTGGCCAACACCACCTTAGAAAGATGTTGTTGCTGTTTGCAAATTAGTTTCAGGACGTGCCGAGTTACATTCGTAGAAATTTTCAAATACTGCTTCTAATGTTTTTTTACTGCCACATGGGCTGTTTCTGGGTTCTTATTTGTATTCACGACACATAACCACATGTCATCCATCACAATTTATTGTTCATCTGTGACTTCACTGACAAGTCTCCACATTACCATTTGTAAGGGCCGAAAAATTTTGTTCTATTTTATTTAACTAAAATTAATACAAATACAATAGACTCGTGTAACCAACAAAAAAAACAAAAAATAAACAAAGTAAGGGTTATGAATTTAATACTTTATTTGATAGAAACAAAATTAATTTCAAAACTCATAAATAATTTTACATCATTGTAGAAAGCCAGATTAAGACGTTTCCCAGAGTCTGGGTACCGAATACAACAGTTTACATAGAGCGTTATAGGATTTTCCATCAAATTTTTCATTATTGAATATCACAAAGTCCTCTGCTATGATACATCTGCCATTTGATAACCCTCGCACCTAATGACACACTAATTATCGATGTAATTGATTAACAAATTAGTTAACATACCTCTACAAAACATCCTGCAATGGGTTTATCTATAGGATTTTTTACATTTACTTTAATTGTAACATCATCTGTTGACTGGAGTTCAAAAGACATCCCGTTCGGTGAAACATTTTTAATTTTACCAATAATACTAACCGGTTTGTTTACAAAACGAGGAAGCTGAGCGCCGTTTATTATGTCTCGTAAATTATCCATAGCTTTCGATGTGCCATGAACTAACAAAATAAACAAAATAGGTTAAAACTGCATTTTTGGCGGTAATATGGATTTCCTCTTCCTCTTTCCAGTGTTGAAAACACTTGCTAAAATTTACAAAATCGTTAAGTGAACTGAATGAAGATAATACCAAAAAATAATCTTTGTGATAAGTTTGTGTTTAAATGTAAACCAAAGTAGTGCAGCCATTTAAAAAATTAAATCACTTAATGAGGCTAAACGGGGCTTAACTAACTATCAGGTTAAGGTAACGTGGTGAAATATCATTTTGCTCATTAATTGTTCGCACCCGCCAAGACTTTTCATTTATTGAAATGTTATTAATATTTCTTTTTTTAACAGAAAAATCTTTGGTCAAAAACTATACAATGGTGTCAACCGTTTGGGAGGAATAAATTAATTTCCCCACTATTAGCAAATGTCACAAGTCCTTGGAAATATTTGTGCACGAGCGAAAACAGAATCGCATTGTCTTTCGCAAAAGTACTCGCGCCGCGTGCGGTGCTTGGTGCTTCGTTGAACGAACACAAAATTCTTACAAAATATGGAAAAACTCATTTAATCAATATTCATTATGCGCCTAGTTTATTTATTTAGTGTCCACAATTTTGATTTGCTTTCTTGGAATTATTTATTCTTATTTTGTTCCGGTATTTTGTAAAATTTAATTGGATAAATAGTTACCCGCAATTAGAACGGCATTTTTGTTTTAAGTTCGGTCAAAATGGAAAAAGGGAAAAATAAAATAGTTTACAAGCTGGTGTTAACTGGAGGTAATCTGAGGCACAGGCCGGAAAATCTTGATTCTTTATATTAATTTGGTTGTGAATTTTAGGTCCTTGCGGTGGCAAAACCACCGGACAGGCTAGACTTTCTACCTTCTTTGAAAATCTAGGATGGAAGGTTAGTGTTTTATAGGTCAGTTGGGTTTTTGGTAAAAATTTCTGTTTGTTATAGGTATTTCGTGTACCTGAAACAGCCAATGTTTTGCTAAGGTAAGTTCTTAAAAATACATCAAATGTTCTTCAGATCTGTAGATAGTACCTACATATTTACTTTTTTTTTTTCGAAACACGGCAATTTGAAAGTCACATTTCGATAGCCAAAGTATTGGAAAGTCGGGATTTTCTTTATATTGACTGCATATTTTTGGTCTCATACAGCCAATAAGCGTACTGATTTCCAGTATAGTGCCAGCGCATAAAAAATAGACATACTAGTTATTTTTGGTTAAAGTTGTGTTTATTTCCGAAATGCTGTTCTATATGTTTCAATACACAGAGTGGCAATTTTGCAAAATCATACCAGGTATAATATTGGAATAATAATAGTAATAAATTTAATACATTTTTATATTATTTTCAATTATATAACACTTACAACGAAATTATGATCACATATTTTTTTAAATGATTTATGTATATTGAGAAGAGTTAGGAAGGTATGCTATTTGTATAGAAGGAATATCATTTTAAACTCAAATTGGTGTTCATTTCAGAGCTACTTTATAGCAACCAAATGGGCATTTCCAAACTAAATTCATCTGAATATCATATTATTACTCAACACACCAGTGTCCACATTAATATTTAATGCGTTAAATCATTTTTTTGTTTATAATAGCATGGGTGTGTTTGATGATAAATATATAAAGAGTTTTGTAGTTTTACTTTACTTTGCTCACTTGTGATTAAACATATCACTGCTGTTTGTGCACTAATTGGAATTGACAGTTTTGCGATTGTACAAAAAACTCATTTTTGTTTGGATAGTAATCAGGCTCAATGAATTGAGCTTATAGTACTCTTAATCGGCTGCCCCATGATATGGAGATGCCTTCTTAGATGGCACTTTCCTGTTAGGATTCCTACCAGTGTTCGTAGTCGCGCGTGACTGAGGCTGAAAGTTCAGTTTCCATCCTGAATTCCGGTAATGTCTCCCAGTACAGATATGCCTCCCAGGACATTTGTAAAATATATAAAAATAATTGATGAAAACGTCGAAGAAAGTGAGAAAAACACATTGAAAGTGATTAGCTTAAAATAATTGTGTGAACTCAGTACCATATCAATAGTATATAATTGATATTATAGCCGTATTTTCGTGAGTGTCTTAACGGCGACTTGAGGACGTTTTGTCTTTAAACGTACCTCATGAAACTTTATATGGACTTGTTATACGTTACATTGCCTTTTTGGTAGAAAAAACATTCTAATAAATAAGTATTTTAATATTAGTGATATGATAATTTCCGCGGGAATGCTGAACATCACACTACTGCAATCTCACAGTTAATACTTCCCACTTTACACAAACTTGCCCATAGGTCATATGCAGTTCGTAAGGTGGAAATGTTAAAAATAAAATGTAAAAATTAAAAAATTTTGAGAATTCATTTCAATTATAAATTTTCAAGATGATTGTATTGTCGTCCATTTTCATTGATTTTTAATGAATTATTTAATTTGTGCTGCAATTTTGGGTTAAAATTTTCTCCTTTCCATTTCACGAACAATATAATTATTATTATATTGAAGCTTTTAAGTAACAACGAAGACGCATTTGTTTAGGATTTTATGTTGTTTTAAAGAATTCTTATGGTTATAAAGCACATAATTGATGAATGATAATTATTACATTCGACTTTATAATTAAATTAGCATTATCTAAACGTGAAAATGAAAAACTAGAAATCTGCAATGCAGTTTATCAAAAATCAGTTGTATGACATTTTTTTATATTTTTTTCAGCGGAGGTGTGAAATTTGTGGATTTAAATGATGAAGAGGGTAAGTCTTTCTATCAGAAACTTTAGAAATGCTTCACCATTCCACGTATTTGCCTGATGTTATGTTATAATCTAATTGGTTGAAAACAAGTTTTTTGCACTTGAATTTTCAAATCTCATTTACTCCTATCGATTGCTTCTAAAAATAAAAATACTGTTTAAACGACCGGTCGGTCTATGAATACCATTACGTTTTGGTCTGGTTTTGAATGGCGTGTTCGCTGCCATTTTGCCCATATTTTGATACTCTAGGTATAATAGGTATACACGGTGACCCCGAGATACTCTGCATCTCGATTAACGGGCCGCTGGGACATTGCTTTCTACAGTTTTCTACAATAGTCTGTAAAACTCAAATTGCGTGTGCCAATTAGTCCAGTCTCAGTAATGGTTTTCACGTGACCTATTGGGCATAACGTTTACGTGCAATTTGGATTTTTTAAGGCAAAATAGGTAACTTCCTTTAATTAGGTATTTTTAAAGAAATATAAATTAATTTTAAAAAATATAGTATCTCCATTTTTAAAAATAGATTTTTTTATTTTATGATCATTCATTTAGTTTTATATATGCTTACATTTTTCGAGCAGAATGTGACTGACCTGTTCAAATAGTCGTTGCCAATTTTCGTCTAAAATTAATATTTTTAGGGCGTGACAGGAAGTTTATGGAAAACAAGTGCAAAATTTACAGGTCTGCCAAAATTATCTATTATTTGCACATGAGATCGATGCTTTTTCATCGGTCTCTAGTAATTGTTTTGCCAAAAAACATTTTTCTGGTTTGTTTATAAATTAATGTTACTTTAAACGGTAAAAGATTTTTGGTTTGCAATTCATTTGGCGCGATGGATTAATGCTTTCTGCTAGCCGCGCGCTTTTGCCGACAAGGAAGTAGGGTGGTTAACCAGCAAAAATATTAGTTTATTGTTCTCGTGACCGCATAAATAGGTTGCAAAAAATCGTTCGAAGTTGCAAAGAAAACAAATGTCGACATAATCCTAAGGTTAACAATAATAAGTAAATAAGTTTCGACATTGCTGTCTGCTTTTAACCATAATCAGATTACAAATACGATAAATATTGCGATATTAAGGTTGTTTTTTTAAAAGGACTGTTTGAATAACGTGTTTTGTTACTTTTTGTGGAATAGTCCTCAATAACTTTGTTAGTTTAAAACATTTGAAATCATATAGTATTGCCTGTTTATGATTTATTGTATCAGAAATGTACTTGCCGTAATTTCAAAAACTTAACAATAAACAATATGTTATCAATAACCGGAGCTTTTCCAATAGAAATCTTTATTTCTTAAAATTGATCATTTAGTGTCGAAGGGTACAGTGGAAATATTAAATTATGAAAGTAAATTTTCCCGTTATGCAACAAAAAAAAACGGTACTTGAGTCACGACCGTTAGTTTTTGGGTAGATGTTTGCAAAACGACACGAATGACCTTCACAAATGACAGACGTCAAAATTCATGCCGTGGGTAATATATCCAAAAACATCGGATTGCTCCCAAACCCATGTGATAATATCCCAGAAATATCTGAAGTGGTTCGTAGTCGTAAGGAACGAAACTAAAGTGGCAAAATGACACTTTCTGCACGCTAGATCGGTATATATTTGGGTATTTTAGAGAAGGGAGCAGAAAATAGTATATTATGCAACAAGTGCGGTAAACGGCATTTGATTAACAAGTGTATTTGACATGAGCGGATCGCATTTTTAATAAACGAGTGAGTTAAAAAGTTTACCGTACGTGTTGCATACTATACTTTTTCTACGACCGTTAGGTTTTGGGTACATTTTCGCAAAACAACACGAATACATTCACTGGCATGACCGTCAGAATTGACAAACGTCAAAATTCCAAGCGTGGGAAATATCTCTGAAAACATTCGATTGCTCCCAAATCCGTGCGGTGAAATCCCAGAAATGTACGAAGTGACTCGGAAAACGAAATTGATGTGGTAAAGTGACGCTTGCCTCACGCTAGATCGGTGGGTAATAAGCTATTTTACAGACGGGAGTAGAAGAAATTGCTAACGATCTGTCAGCAGACGGTGATCGAAGAATGTCAATTTTTTTCAAATATTTCAATGAAGTCACTTCTTTGTAAGGCAAATTAAGATATAAAACTAAAGGTAACTTGGTATTTTGAATAGTTTTCGAAATATTGTCTTTTAAACATTTTCCCATTCTTATAAATCCTATAGCTTTTACGTTCAATGACGGCTGCAGCGCGGAAAATAAAATGTGAAAATACCGCTGCCATTGGAATTTGAAAATTATTGTCAATAATTACAGAAGATTGTAACACGTATCTCCAAAAACATATCACACATAGTTAAGAAAGTCATAAAAAAAAACTTCAACTATTCCGTGGTCTGCATGCTCCATTTAATATGCTTTCTATTAGTAAATAAGAATTAATGAAATTTGTCTAGAATTTTCCGAGAAATTAAAATACTTTCCATAAGAACACCGTGTATATACCTACAGTAAAAATGTATAATTCTTTTGTTGAACTTGAGAAAAGTTGTATCGGTTTAAAACTTAACCATCAGACACTTCCCAAAATACGGATATATTTTGTTCAAAATTATGTCTTTTATCTTACCGCTTTAAAATGAATGAATTAAGAAAATACTTAGCCCGTAACCTTCATTACATTTTAACCATTTCCCTCTATATTTATTTAAAACATCCCCAGTCTTATGAAAAATACTCACCCATAAATCAGAACACATATTTTCAACTATAATCAAATCTTTACTTGATTATGTATTTTTCAATGTACTTACCAAATCTTGTAGGTACTAATAGATATTTGTGTTACTTATAAAATTTGAACTCATCAAACATTAAAATTTGCATTTGTTGGTCTTTTTTTGGTCTTTTATAATAAATAGATTATCGTGTTAGTTTTAATAATATTTGTAACTTTCAAACATAAGTAATAATTATAGCCAAGTACGCCCTATATCCTTTTTAGTAAAAAGCAGTAGTAGTAAGAAATTGATGGGTCTTGGGCTTGGTTTATGAAAAATGAAATTCTTATGTGGTCGACGTTTAGGGAGTTTTATGGCCTTCTTCAGTATTAATAAAGATGATAGTAAATCAAAAATATGTTTTTTTAATAATTAACCAAAAACTTTATATTCGCGACCCTCTTCGTTCAAAATTAGGCACGTCTGGCAAAGTTTCAAACATATTGTTTAGTTAAAAATATCCTACGTAACGAACGAAGAGGACACGTACGCACCGCATATAAGCCGTTCGGTGGTTTTATGTGGAATGTAAAAAATCTGAAATCCAAAATTTATTAGACACATTGCAATATGTACTTCCATCTTACAAGTCGTGGGCTTACAAAAACAAAATCATTCATTTTACTTTTTTCAGAACATAATGAGATATTGGTCACGAAAATTGGGTGCGCTGCTGTTCCGGTTCGACTAATTTGCTCATTTGCTTATTCCCTAGCAAAAGTTTAGAAAAAGTGAACAAGCTCAAGAAATATCGAGTAATTCAAGGAAAATGTTTAAAGTGTTTATCAGAAAAATGAAGTATTAAGTCAATAAACAATTTTTTTTAAAAAACTGTATTTCAATCAGTTTCAATATGCACGTCCAGCTCATATATAAGTATTTTCATGGCAATCTTGATAATTTGGAAAGAATGATGTCTGTCAAAGATGTTTTATGTTATTAAATGGTTAGTTTTGGTTAGTTTGGTTTTTCATGTTTTTGTACTTAAATAAGTCAATAAACAATTAAACAGTAAAAAGTAAGTGATAATACTAAATATTTAAAAACGGGTAAAACGTAGTATCACTGTCAATTACGGGTTAATTTTGTGTAAAAATGAAGTATAATTACATAACCAATAAACAATAAATTACCTTTTTATTTCGTAAATTAAAAATACCTAGACATAAATAACAACCCATCAAGTTGAAATACTTCTCAAAATTCATTTTTTTTTTAAGTTTTAATTTCTTTTATTCATATTTTGGATTAGAATAAAGATATTAAGATATGGTTTTCACTTTATCGTTGGGCCTCCCTTGTTGGACCACGTAGTTACGTGCGATTATGTCACCCTCTCTTGGCAAAGTTAACCATCGTAAGTCTCATAGCACGATTATTAGCCGAGAAAAAGTACTTCTTAGGGACTCTAAGTTCATTGACATGAGTTAAGCCTTTTTGGAGTTATTGACATTTACTTCGGAAAATGTTCGTACACCCCATATCACTTTCCTTTCAGAAAGGAAGCAATCGTATTAAATTTAAAAGAATTGAATTTGTTTTAGATTTAAAACACTACTCACTCGAAGTGTGGAAGTTTCTTCTAAACTGGGTTTTAAAAATCAAGGCGACAATTGCGTCCTCTAGGGGCAATTTCAGAAACTCCTGAGCGATGTGCTTATAATATTCCTAATTGGGAAGAAGCTTGTGCATCCAATTTTAACTTAATAAACAAGATCCTTCACGATTAAATCACAAACTAAGCATCAGCCGGTGTACCGGTCGATTCTTGATACGGACTATAGTGGCTTTTACGTTTGTTACATGTAAAGGGGTCATGTTTTGCGTTTAACTTTAAACCCGATTTGTCTTCTTTTTTCCGGCGAAATAGAGATTAATTGTTTCGCTGTCAGACTACTTTGATCTCTTTTTTTAGTTAGTTTAGTTTGGGTTTAATATTCGCGACATAGTTGTTAAATTCAGATTCGGATTACGTAATATCGCAGACTAGTTAAAAGCGATTGACTCATGCGGTTTCTACGACATTGTAAATAGAAACAATTCGTGTCTCCGTTGCCCCTCTGAAAAAATTTGTTGGCTCGAATTCCGGTATCAAAGTCCGAGTTACATTACGTCGTCTGCGTTTATATATAACAGAAATGCAGGGTGGTGGCAATGTTAAAAAACAGAATAGCCTCCCTCGAACGTGTTTCGAATGCGACACAATTGTCTACACTGCATAGTTA